AAACTATTTGCATGTATCTATTGTCATTTCCTGTACTTAATATTTATGAACCCATTACATGAGGGTACGTGACGTGGTTTACATCATGTCAAAAGGAGGACAGATGGGCTACCGTCTCAAGGCTACGCGGGAAGGCGGGCAGGCCTTTTAAAAACCAGACTGTCTGTCTTAAAGCCGGGCGCCCGCTACTGTAGTTCAGCGGCTAACAAGCCAAGCTAAAGTAAAAGCCTACAGCCACTGTCGCGACCAAAAACTGGCTGACCACACCCGACCGACTTACAGCTAAAACCCCCGCTAACGGCTAACACCGCAGCGCTATGTCCCACATACAGGCGGCACCCAGCGCTGCCTGATTAACGGTACGTGGAAGAAAAGAAAAGGAAAAAACACATCCCTCCTTACTTTAAATTACAGTCACTTGCAAACATCAGCGAATAACATTTGAAGCCAAGCCAGTATTTTAAAACTAGCTAACATTAGCTTCCAGTCACATAAGAAGTCTTTTGAAGCCACTTGCTATCTGAATTACAAATCACATCAAGAGCCTCGGTTATCTTACTTATTCATTTCTATTGCAATATATAACCCGAAAGACTGCAGTAATTAACCAGCTATAATAACATTAAAGTAATTCTTACCTTAAAGTTCTCTCCCCCTTTTCCGAACCGCTGCAGTGCTTCCGCCAGTGACCGACGGTTGGCGCGAAATACCCATAATGCACCAGGGGGCGCAGTTCGAGCGCAGTAAATGCAGCGAGCGAATAGTTTGCTGAGTGGGTCTGCATAAGAAGATTTGTTGAGCCACTTACATACAGCTTGTTAAGGACAAAAATCAAAATGACCAGTGTTTTGAACAAATGTAGACTAATTCACAACTTGATATATTCATGTCAAAAGATAAACATTGTTTTTTATTGTTATTTTCACAGGCTTTATTATGTCACAACTACATATTCTTAGATTAACTTTTTTCAGTGTAGTAAAGACCTTTATCACAGGTCTGTGGGTGTGGGTGGACCTGCTCGTGTGCTTCATCGTCCTGCTGCAGAACCCATCGGTGTTGACTTTAAGATCCTGAGCTACAGGAGGACTTTCTGATAGAGAGCAGAATTCAACGTATATTGATATTAATTTATATAATAAATATTTTAGCTTTTAAAGTGAATTTTCATAGTTCTGATTATTCTGATAATTAAATTTTTACATTTCTATCACAAATAATGTTGTAGGGTTTAATTGTAATATTTAGTCAGAAAATCACATCGAATCTGAAAACACGTTTTTATCAAACGGGATTTTTGTCACAAACTGAAACTCTTCAGTAAAGCAACAACTGATGATAAAAGAAGCCCAAAAAGCAAACGAGACCACGTTTAGATTTTAATTACTTTTTATTTTTTTCTTAAAAATTAACCATCTGCATTTACAGAGTTCCTAAGGCAGGCACGGTCTGAAAATATAGAGAATCACCTGAAAGATTAAATATAAAAATCTACAAACTTCCGCCAGCGAACTCTGCGAGACGTTGGACGAGAACGTTTGATCAGAAGCGTTTCAGCGGCTGCAGGTCAGTCAGCGTGAACATGACCACAGACAAACGTCAGGAGTCCAACTCTTCAGCAGCGCTCAGTTTTAAATCATTGAGTTTAGAACAAATAAAATCACATTTATACTCCAACATTTACTGACGTTAATGTTTCATCTGATCCACTGATACCTGAACAGTCAGACAACAAGTTCCTGATCCGTGATGAATTATTGACTCACTCATCAGTCTGCAGGACTTCACTAATCGAGCTTTAAAACAATGTCTTCTGTTCAAAGACACAAAGAGATTCAGTTTGTTATCGAGGAAGACAGAAAAAAAAACCAGAGAGTGCTGAGAAGGACGAAACAATGATCCAGGAGCTGTAGCAGCAATCAGGTCAGTGATGCAGGAGCTTCTATTTCAGATTAAAGATAAAACTATTTCTATCTGAACAACAAAAGAGTTTAATGTGTCATTCATGTTGGATATAAACCAGTGTGAGACAGTTTGAAGAGCTGTTCATGGAGGACATCCAAGTTCAGTGCAAAGAGTCACAGAGGGACAGAAGTCTGGGGGCTGGAGGACAGGAGCTGGTCAGCAGAGGGACGGATGGCTGGACAGAAGGATGTGGAGCTCCTCAGCCCATGTAGGGGTACTTCCACTCTGTCAGGGGGACGTGGGTCTCCTTCACCACCTGAGGAGACGTCCACCTCAGGACGTAGTGTGGACCTCCAGGTTTGTCATTGGTGCCTTGATGAGGAGGAAGGTTTGGTTAAACTCCATCAATCCATCAGTGGGTTCTCCAGACGGAGACCGTGAGACGGTTTCTTACCTGAAGCTCTGGCGCCACCGAACGGCTGCTGGGCCACGACGGAGCCGGTGGATTTATCGTTGACGTAGTAGTTTCCTGCAGCATTTCTCAGAGCTCTGGCTGCGTCGCTGATCACCTTCCTGCCACAGAAACAAACTTTACTCTCCCAGCAGTCACCACTTCTGCTCAACGGGTTCCCTGCTCCCAGCGCTCCTGCAGCACCTCCAGCACTACGGAAACTCATCAGCCACATCTGAACTAAGCTCCCCCAGAACCTCCTCAGAACATCTGGTTCTGTACCTGCAGAACCTTTATCTACTGACCAGAGTTCTACCTTCAGACTGTGAATGTTCCAGAGGTCCAGGTCCTTGAAGTCCACAGAGGAGGGTCCAGATTTATCACTTTAATGGACTTTTTCCATCATTTCTGAGCCTCAGAACTTCATCAGTACAGCAGATAGACACATGACATTTAGGAGGAAGAACACATCTGGGTTCTGCTAGAACCTGACACCAGATCAGTTCTACATCCATCCAGGTGTCTCAGTCTGAACACTGGACCTGGTTCTGTTCATGTCCTCTGTCAGCAGCTGCTAGCATCAGTATTATGGGATGTCTCATAGTGGTACCAGTTCAATGTCTATGACACAGAGTCACAGAAAACCTGATAGTTCCTGCAGCGTCGTCACTGTTGTTCACAGTCTGTTGACGCAAACACAACAAACGAACAGAACCAGAACTGAACACTGTCAGAGGAGAATCTGAAAGAACCAAGCAAGCTGTGAATGCTGCAGACTGGTTCCTCACTGAGATCAAACTGTTCGTTGTTCTGCTTTGAACATCAGAACGTGTTCCTCAAGGACCTGGAGATGTTCACCGCATGAAGGTGAAACTGCTTCATTAATATGGGTACTGATACAGAACCAGAGGGTTCTGGAGGGTTATTCTGAACAAACACGCATGATGGTACTGCAGCCTGTTGCGATTTCCCCTCGAGGATCAATAAAGCATTTCAGGTTCTGGTTCTGATTCTCTATGTGCAGATGAACACGTCTTACTGGTCCTTGGCGAACACGGCTCCGGTCAGAGCGTACGGAGACGTGCTGTCGATCAGCTGCAGAACCTTCTGGTACTCGTTGTCTGGATAAACGTAAACTGTAAGCACCGGCCCGAAGATTTCCTGCAGAACACACAGAACAGAACACAGAACAGAACCAGGTCAGAGGTCTCTGTGACGTACAGCTACAGATGAATCAGACTGCGCATTTCAGTGTTTGAATGAGAGGTTCTGGAGAACCATCAGACTGTGAAGTGGGTTCTGGTCAATGTTTTTAAGGTTCTGGCTGATGAAGCATGTCATTGTGTGTCGAACCGGTTGGTGAAAGCGGACCTCCGGAGCGCCGGTACCTCATTCATGATGGCGTCCTGCGGGTCTGTGGTCTCCACGATGGTGGGCTCCACGTAGTAGCCGGCGGTGTCGTCACAGTTGCCCCCGGCCACCACGCTCAGGCTCGGCGACGCCTTGGCGTGGTCCAGCCACTTCTTGATCCGAGCAAAGGACTGCAGAGAAGGCTTCAGTTAAACCGAGCCAGAACACAGAACAGAACTGCGCTGTAGGAAAGCCAGCGTACCTTATCATCGATCACAGCAGAGAAGAAGGTGCTGAAGTCCTGGACCGGCTGCCGGAAGAACAGAACCGTTAACCTTCAGCTGCTCTGGGCCTCAACCACAATGTGGACCAGAACCTTAGCAGCTGCTGCCACTGACACCGACAGCTGGTGGATCTCTATCAGAACCAACGGACCCGTCCGTCCGTCTGTCTGTCTGATCCGTCAGTCTGTGACCCGTCTGTGACCCGTC